CCACTTTCATTAAAGGAGTGTTAAAAAGTGAAAAGGGGAGCTGGGAGTCTTATGTATTTACAGGCATGGGGGTAGATCAGTACCCATCCTTTGTAATGACATATCCAGAGGCATGCATCTAAATCATGTTGGCTTCCATAGTGTCTTTTCACCTTGATTTTAAGTATGAAAATGAAAGGCAGAAGCAATGTATAGAGTTTTAAAATATTTAATGCTATTAATAATTTGTAATCTTATATGAGCTACACAAATGAGAACAAGATTATATTATTATTACAATGGACATTTTTTTTTTTTTTGCTTTCTATGTACGTGCTTATTTTACCATTGCTCCTACAAATGAGCTTTATACACTGCACTTGAGAAATCGTTACAATAATAAACATTTTCCTAGAGTTTGTTATAGATTCTTGCTGGGTGGGTGAGGGAGGCGCGGGGGGGGGGGGGGAATAGACATTCTGCTATATTTGTGAATAACATCAAAAAAGGAACAACTCAGCTGGTAGATAAATTTCCTAAGGCTGTGTTCTGACGCAATTCCCCCAAAACAACAAACCCTCTGTAGTTGAAGCAATGATTCCTTTATTAGGAGTGCCAGCAGCTCTGGCAAAAAGTTTCTCTTTCACCTTAGGCCAGTGGTGGCTAACCTTTTTGGGTTCCTGTGCCAAAATTGCATGTGCGCTTGCATGCTCACATGCCAGCACCCAGAAGGCAATGCGCATGCCCCCCCACACCCCCTGCACAGGTGCGCATGGACCCCCTGCACGCAGCACGCGTATCTGCATGCGCAAACACACACACCCCCGCACCATGCATGCCTGTGCATCTCCCAAGCGCACACACCTGTGCTTGCATGCCAGATACCCCACAATCAGCTGTCAGGTGGATTGAATTCTTTAGAGAATGCCAACATTTCTGCATGCACCCTGGGACATAGAACAACAGGATCCTAGGAATCCCAGGATTTCCACCCAATCTTCTTGTTGAGTTTCAAAACATTTTGGATTACCAATTCAGACTCTCCTATCTCCTCGTGACTTGCTAATTGAGGACAATTGTGGGGTGTCTAGTCTGATACTTCTTGCAAATGTTCAAGCACGAACACTTAACTGATTCTTGTTGGCCCTACCTCCTCTATTGCCAAGCATTTAAAATAAAATACGTACAGTAGGAGTTCTAAGCCATAAAATGGTGGCCATCAGTCACCATTCGCTTTCCAAAAGAATTTGGTTTTCAAGAATTTCTGGAAAGCCGAAACATTTTTTGCAGTGCAGTATGGAATATGCAAGATGGCTGTGAAAACTCCTTGCAGGGACTGTCCAAAAGGAACGTTTCGAATTTCTTAACATACCATTGTGGTTTTTTGGGTGAAGTGGGAATGGATATGAGTTTTGTGTCCTTCTAAGAGGCAAAGATACCACCAGATGTTCTGATTGCAATAAAATTCATGCTATTGGTTCCTGTAATACCAGCCCAAGGAGCAAAGACTGACAATTCCTAGAGCTGAAAAATATTTTTGAAAATGTACAGCTGGAAGAGTTTGCAATCTAGCGGATTGGCTGCTAATATCTACTGAATTCTTATCTTTAAGAATGCTGGTACTTCACCTGTCATTGTCAACCATCCATAGCTTTTAGGGTAAACAACTGGTGGCTTCTCATTGTGCTCCTCTAACAGCTTGCAAAACACAATCTTCAGCTCCCTGAACTTGTCCTGGTTACCCATCCCAAGAAAGTTTTGCTCTGCAGCTTCCATGCTATCTGCTGTTACAGGCAGCTGAGCTGCTGCCTTTGATCAACATCTCTACCATCTTAAATGCTAAGACCAGGCTTAGCATTTAAGATGGTAACATTTAAGACTTCCACCTTATCTTGATTCACCCCAACAAGGGCAGCCATGCTTGCTTGGATTTGAGCATAATAAGAGACTATGGGCATAAAGTCATTCCATGTCAGAAATCAAGGCTCATTGATTACTCATTTACCAGAGAACAGGACCATCACTGCAACCAGAGGCACAGGAACACCCGGCAGCAAGGAAATATATTTAGACTATCCAGGAATAATTTCTCCTCTGCCCTCCCCCCCAAAAAACCCCACTGTCCCCACTCCTGCACACTACAATTTCACCTGACTGCTCCATTTTGTAGCTGGATTTCTTACTGCTGTCACAGTGAAGATCATTGTCAGTAATCCTGCCATACCAATAGTCACCAAGCAACAACCTACTGAGCAATGATACATCCAGAGTCATTTGTTGAAATGGACTGTTATAGAGATCAATTAAAATTTTGAATAGTAATTGGTGGGTGTTTTTATGGGCAGAAGAAAATCTTAGCCAAGAAAGTCACCAGTTGCTGCTGTATGGGAGAGCAAGAGGTCTAGTCCAATTCCAGATGCAAAGTAAGGACGCTGCATAAGGGCAGCAGAATTTAGGTTGACACAATTTCCTCTTGGAGGAAAGAACAGCTCCTCTTCCCTTTTTTGCTCACCACTAACGTGAAAATATTACATCTAAAACGTTTTTGCCTGCCACAGATGGAAGCGAGTGGTGCAATATCCTTGTTGTGAGCATAGCAGGGCTACATAAATTTGCATAGGTAGTTGTCAACCATCAATAAACTTAACCCTAATCCATGGAGGCGGAAGGAAGCATGACACATCATAAGCAGATATGGTTGATTGACGTACAAAACTCACTGCGGTCAAAAAGGTACAAGAGCCAAAACCTCATTAAAATACCCCATGGGTGAGGTCTAAATCTTTCTGTGACATTTTTCCATCCGTTAGAAGAAAATTCTTGGTCTGTTCTGAACTGGGTCAATGAGTACAGGATGCCTTCTTGAAATAGAGGTAGAATGTATTCCACAGAAATGCAAAGGCTAAGCAGTTGAAGGTGGCCACGTTTTGAAAAGGAAGGTTTGGAAATATTGATAGACAAGGTTAGGCTTTGTTAGTACAGCATGCAAATATAATTTGCTTGGGTGGAGGGCTGAGCTGAGTCTGGCAGGAAGGAAGTGCCGTTTCATCACCCCTTGGAGTGAGATAATCTTTGTATCTGTTTGTGTAAGTTGGCTGTGGGCCCAGATCTGGGGAATCTTTAGTGTTTCTGTAAAGGATTTTGGTATCTTAAGGGGCTTTTGGTTTTTGTCTTGTTGACATCAGCTTATTTCCTTGTGTAAGAGGCTCTTAATAAATTAATATCAATAGGGTCTGAAAAGCTTAAGGATCTTTTTGTCTTACTGTTTAAGTTTAACCGATAGCTCCAGGGGTTGCTAGGATCAATCTGTGGTCTAGGCTAGTAACTGTGTCTTAGACCTAGAGGCTTTCACCTTCTCACACTTCTATTTGCATAATTCAAAGAATTAGACACTTGAACTTATATATATTTAAAAAAAAAAAGAACCTTGCAGACTGATTCATCCTTACTGCCCTTGTTTCTCCATTTATCCAAGTAAGTGATGTTAGGGGCACGGAGAATTTTATTTAGAAATGTTAGGCGCCGGCCTGGGGCCAAAAATAGCCTTTTGCTCGCATCTACCAAAAAAAAAAAAAAAGTATGGCCCTTTCCTGTAAGCGAAGCGTCGTCCGTCCGTCCGTCCCCCTCCTCCCCAAATTCTGGCCGCCCGAAAGTGTTTACCCCCGCCCGCCGCGTTGCCACCTTTCCTTTCAATGCCTCGTTTCCTTTTCCCAGAAGTGATCTAGAAACGGGGCGATCGAGGCTCCCCTTGACGTTTTGCAATGCCCCACTTTGCTAAAAGGCAAAGACTCTTGCGTCACGTGTAGCAACTGATGTCAGGAAGGGCGAAACCCGGGGAGCTCGGGGCGGAGCCGAGTCCTTTCAAGGCAGGCAGTCTGAAAGCCGAGCGGTGAGCTGAGTGGGAGCCGCGCCTCCTCCTCGGACGGAGCTGTCGGGGTGCGGCAAGTTGGGGGAAGCGGCCTCGACTTTCTTAGCCTGCCGCTCTGAAGGCGAAGCCGAGTCCGGCGCTATTGCGGGGCCTCGCTCTCCGGGAAGAAAGCGCCAAGTTCACCTTCCCTTTCTCATCTGGACGGACAGCTCTTGTGAATGGCTAAAGGTAGAGAGACGGGAATTCCCAGGCCTGTGACGCAAGCGGAGAGCGAAATGGCTCAGCCGCCGCCGCCGCCCTGTTCCGTGGAGAGGTCCAGTCCCCCGTCTCCTTACCTCCACAACTTGCCCTCCTGGGTGCTGGAGGACTTTTGCCAGAAGATGGACTGCCTCAACGAGTACGACTGGATGCGCTTTGGTGAGCAAACCGAGTGGGTGGGGGAGAAGGGAGGGGATGGTGCTGTTTGGATCTTCTACTTCGGCAGCTGTACAGAATGAAGGTGAATGAATAGAATTAGAATTAGAATTCTTTATTGGCCAAGTGTGCTTGGCCACACAAGGACTTTGTCTTGGGTGCATAAGCTTTCAGTGTACATAATAATCTATAAGTGATAAATCATAATCATAGTCATCATAAAAATACATTCATCATAAATCATAAGATACAACACTTACGGATAGTCACAGGATACTAAATAAGCAATCAACATAAATCATACTAGGAAACTAAATAAAACAATATAAATCGTAAAGATACAAGCAGCAAAGTTATAGTCATAAGTAGAAAATGAGATAGGTAATAGGAAAGATGAGAAGACTACTAGTAATGGCCTTACTAAATAGTTTGACAGTGTTGTGGGAATTAGTTGTTTAGCAGAGTGATGGCATGGGGGAAAATTGTCCTTGTGTCTAGTTGTTCTGGTGAATGTGAAACACACACACACACACACACATACACACTTTAAAACCTCACAAAAGTACTGTATATCTTTGCTCTAATGAACTGAAATGTTAGGTATTGCAAATTCTGGCAGTGTGCCCACCCCCCCCACCCCCCCATGCCAGAAAGAATTTAAACTGTCTTGGTAAAATAATGATAGAATGTCTTATTAGAAATCTACTCAAATAAATGTCCCTGGGCATTTCTCAAGAAGATATGGCATCTGTGTGAAAGATCAGGATCATTTTGGAACTGCATTTCTTATTTCGGCTTCTGTTTTGTTTTGTAATAAAAGAACTATCTCTTTTTTTAATGGAGATGATAAAAATTAATCTCATCTGTCAGTGAAAAGTGCCTTAACAGTAAACTGATTTATGATTCCTTTAAGAGGCTTCGGTAGTTTTAGCAAAAGGCATTTCCATTGAAAGTTATTCACTTATTGTGATCTGTCCTTATTGCTTAACCCTTCTAATAAAAGGCTTTTTGTTACAGCTATACCTCTTCTTCCTTCTTTTGAAATAAAAAAGAGCTTAATGAAAGTGTGATCTTGGTGTCTCCATTTGTATGTTCTAGCTACAAGAGTCCTCAGAGAATATTTGGATGTAAATTGTTATTTCAGTTTCCCCACATGGTTTTTCATTAACTGAGGAGTTTCAAGTATGTCATACATAAGAAAGCCTGTGTCATCGTTGGCTTTTTAGTTCATTCACAAATAATTATGAGTCACGATTTATGAACTGTTGGGATTGCATTCCTGAAAAATGAAGAATAGTCTGCTGTGGAGTGATTTCCCATCAATGAGGAGTGGGGCAGCTCCTCTGTGTATGGTATTGCCTTGTGCAGGGGAAAGATGCCTCCAAGGTACACCTCCCCTCCCGCCCTTATGCATGTTGAATCCAAAGGTGGTATTCAGCAGGTTCTGACCAGTTCTGAAGAACCAGTAGTGGAAATTTCGAGTAGTTCGGAGAACTGGCAAATACCACCTCTGATTGGCCCCGCCCCCATCTATTCTCTACCTCCTGAGTCCCAGCTGATTGGCTGGGTCTTCTTTTGTTGCCCTGCACAGGAGAACGGAGCTGGAAAGCAGGTTAGTGGGGTGGGGAGAGAATGGAGATTTTGCAGTATCCTTCCCCTGCCACGCCCACCAAACCACGCCCACAGAACCGGTAATGAAATTTTTTTAATCCCACCACTGAGACAGGGGTCAAACTGGCAGCCCAGAGGCTTTATGCGTCATGTGCAGGCCACGCCCACCCCAGCTCCGCAAATGGGAAAAACATCACATGACATCGCGAGTTTGACACCCGTGTTATAAGTAGTTTAGGAGAAATGTTCCTTATCAGTATTAAATCCATCTTAATTCTGCATAGGATGTTGACCTATGCCATGCAAGCTACTGCATTTCAAGAAGTTAGGAACATGAAAATATGGCACTCAGCTGGGCTTCACTTAGGTCTTGTCTCTGCGGCTGATGAGTGATTTTTCTAGCAAACAACTTAATGGCTGGACTTTATATGCAAAGTATGTCTTGTACTTCGTCTTACAATAAAAAGAGGACATCACTGGTGTGGCAAATGTCTGTCCTGTCTCCAAAACAGATAAAGCACTTACTCATTTGTCCAATGTTGTTTGGATACTTTCACTAAAGTTCCTACAACTGGAGTCCCTTTCTTCTCAAGCATTTGTCTGTATATAAACAAACAGAAGAGCCAAGACAGCTGGAGCTGGCTTCTCTTTTTCATTTCTCTGCTGCTCTTGTGAAGGGAAATTGCCATGACATGCCTATCAATAGATGCCAGATGTTGTACTTCCTCAGCAGGGTGGAGGGGGATGAGGCAGGGAAGCAGGGAAAAGTTGGAGTCTCAAGGGAGAAGCAAAACAGGTCTGTACAAATCTGAAAGGGGCAGATTTAAACAAACAAGGAAAGTGGAGGGAACCTTCTCTGCATGGTGGTGGAGTCCAACTATCTTTGGAGATGAAGAGAAAGTCCACTCCCATTTGGAACAGTAATAGCAAAACCAGCACTTTAATGCTTGCTTTGGAACCACAGATTTATTTTCTGTTAATACTTCCTTTTGCTAGCAATTCAGGTTCCTTGTAGTTCAGATTGTAAATCTCAAGGTGTGCTTAAAAATAAATCTGTACTTTTAGTATTGAGGGAGGAGTTCACAGGTAGTAAATCAATGTTACCTTACAAATATGCTGAAGTTTCAGACTCTGGTTGGAGCTTAGTTTTGCTGAAATTGATATTCTTCTCTGGCTTGGATTAATGTCGAGCAACACAAAAGTTCCTTTTGCTTATCCCCATTATTTTTTTTAAACAAAATCTGTTGTCAGAAATGGCATGCCCATACCTTGTAAGGGAAGCCTACTCAAAAGTCTGAGGACCAAAGGTTCTACCCCAACCCTCGTAGTGTGAGTTTTTGTTGCTATGTTGTTTACCGGGCTGCTTGCTGAAGCTGGAAACCATTTTAAGGGGCATGGTGACACAGCCTTAGGGAGCAAATCCACGATGATTAATCTCTATCTGTTTCCTTTTAAGTTGCACCCCAAATTTGTAGCTTGAACAGTCTTTCCATTCTTGAAGGGAAAAAGACTGAATGAAAATCTTTCCAACTTTATCTGAGAACATGTATCTCATTGGTGGAATTCAGATGAAGCCAAATATACTGTACTTACTTAACATTTCTTTTTGTTTGTTTCCAGTATTCAAGCCTTGCCTTTTTTTTCCTTCCTGAAAGTTCATTTAAATTGTTCCCAGGAGAGGCTGTATTTTCTTTAAAAAGCTGACACATTGAATCCCAATGTGTAAGCAGTTACTTTCCTCATCACCTATGAGAAGAATTACCTCTAGATGAACAGCAGAATTTGATAGTTACTTGAATAATTGGAATAAAATTTACCTATTTCTTTAATACTCACTGGTGGGGCAAGACATATGGATGGATAGCTGGTCATTTGATGCTCCACTAATGTTCATAAATGATAGCAGAAAAAATGAGGAAACATAGCAATTGACTTCTCAACCTTTCGGCAAAGCTGTTGTGATTACAAAAGGCCAGTATAAAAAAAGGAATACAGTGCTGCATATGAGGTCCACCCCTGAAACAGCTTTTCTCTCTTCCAAGTTCTAGGGCATCAGCAATTTATAGCTTTTTCATGGAACAGTAAAATAGGGTGTTATATGGGCAATGAAGAGACTTGCATAGAACTTTAGCCAACACTGTTTCCTTATAGTTGCCAGTCATCTGCTAAAAAGACAAGGAATTGTGGTGAGACCTCCATTGTCACTATTACCTATTACATATAAATAGAATAATGTTAAGCAGAAGTAGGATAACATATACCTTTCCAGATTATATGATCCTCCAGTTCCCACCAATTTTAGCCAACGTTACCAGAGAAGATGGATGTTCAAGTCCTACAAAATCTGAAGAGCTGCATGATTTTTTTCTAGACACCCACAGCATTAGTTGACATCTGTCCTCTTGCATGGCTTAAAGCAATATTATTCTGTTTTGTGTTGTATCTTCTGAACTGTTAATGTGCAGATCTGTGTCATCATGTAGACCAGGGGTGGGCAAACTTTTTGGCTCGGGGGGCCGCATTCACTTTTAAAATTTGACAGACGGGCCGGGTCAGCACAAGATTTTTTGGGAATCGCCCCCCCCCTTCCCCCCCTTCTTCTCCTCCTTCCCCTCCCCTCGGAGGCCCCCTGAGTCAGGAGTTGCTACTGCCGGCACGGCTCCAGTCCCACGTTGCCTCGGGAAGGGAAAGGCAAAAAGGAAGAGCCGCGGCGGTGCTTTGCAACAGCAGCAGCGGCACCGGAGGTTCAGGCTCAGCGGCTCCTGGTTTTGCCTTTCCCTTCCCAAGGCAACGCGGGACTGGAGCCGCGCGGAGCTGCGCCGGCAGTAGCAACTCCTGACAGCCCCAGCCGGACACCTGAGCAGAGCCCGGGCAGAACTGCCTGTTGCTGCTGCGGGCGCTGCTGCGGGCGTCTGGCTGCCCAAGTAAAGAACCGCACCAGCTCAGGGCAACTGTGAGGAGCAAGAGGGGAGAGGCAGAGAAGGAGGCAGAGAAGGAGGAGAGCACCTGGCCAGTTGGGGGAGGCTTCTTGTGCTGCGAAAGAGGCGGCTAATGATCTCCGGCTCCACTCTGCTTCTCCAACATCCAGCGCTGCCCTGTTCTGTGCGCCGGCTGCTCGGACTTGCTGGGCCTGACACAGAACAGGGTGGCGCCGGATGTTGGAGAAGCAGAGCGGAGCCGGAGATCATTAGCCGCCTCTTTCGCAGCACAAGAAGAACAGGGTGGTGCCGGACCATTGAAGAAGCGGAGCAAAGCCGGAGATTAGTAGCTGCCTCTTTCGGCGCAGAAAGCTTCCCCCAACCAGCCGGCTGGTCTCCTCCTTCTCTGCCTGTTTGTTCTGTATGGCCGAGGAGGAGGAGACCAGCTGAGAAGCACGCTGCCAGGCGGGGGCCACGCGGCGCAGGGCAACACGCCACCGCCCAGCCCTGGCGAGGGAAAGCAGTGGGCGTTCCCTGGGCGGTGGCCTTGGCCCTGCTACCAGGGAAGCGGCTGCCCAGCTCCGTGTTGTGTGTGCGATTTTTTGGCGCGCGGCGCGGGGTCTCTTTTGGCCGGCCCCAATTTTTTTTTCAGAGGGGAATATTTTTTTTTCAGAGGCGGGCCGTATTAAAATGACCAACGGGCCGGATGTGTCCCGCGGGCCGTAGTTTGCCCACCCCTGAGTAGACAATGTTGGTAACTGAATCAGCTAAAAATAAAATAAATTCAGATACCTAAGCTATGCTATATGAAACTTTTCTTTTCAATCTAAGGAGCATCACCAAAGTAGATTTTAGGGTCTGAGAATGTAGAAAATTATCACAGTCAAAACTATTCCCTGTGATCATAGTGAGAAACTTGATACATGTCAAATGTTACTAAGATACAAATCCCAGATTTCCCCATGATCTGCCATCCTGGTTATAATTGAGATTTGTAGTACAGCAATATCTGAAGTAGGTTCCCCACTTACCATTCAATAATATAAAGCTCTGGATTAAATTCTGAGGTAAAACCATGGGAGTTTCCATGTCTTTCAGATTCAACAAGTTCAACCAGATGATAAATATGTGTGAAAGGAAAGTGACCTGTTAATCAAAATTGTCTTGTTTTGCTTTCAGCATCTCATGTGATAACTGACCAGACTGAGCTGAGAAAAATCAAATGCATGGAAAAAGCAGGAATTAGTATAACAAGAGAACTGATGTGGTGGTGGGGAGTGCGGCTTGCGACGGTCCAACAATTGTTGGAACTTCTGCAGGAATTGGAGTTCTATAGAGCAGCACAAGTGATTTCAGATTGTACGTACCTTCTGTCTTTTCTTGAGCTAGGCAAGTGAAAATATGCAAAGAGCAGAAAAGATATAAGAAGTGCTAAGCTAAATAAGGCCATCAGATGAGGTTTATACTCATTTATACTAACATGTTTCTGGTTGCTTCTGCCTCCCCCATATTCCTTGATACCTAGCCTTTTCTTCTTTAATCTTCTCATTTCTCCACTGCATTACAGCCTGGCAGATTCCAGCGGTATGAAATTTCATTCTACTGCATTGTTTTTAACAAAGAACATTGAAGAAAAGATGGGAATTTCCTGAAAGATAATAGCATTTGCAGTTTCCCTGAATTCCTGTTATTTGCTTCGGAGAATTCAGATATTTATCTCAATGCAGCTTGTACTCATTGTAGAAGGCCATTTGTTTGCACCCAATGCCTCACCCAGAAACAAATGAAATACAGGTAGACCTCAACTTACGACCACAATTGATGTTGCTAAGTGAGAAATTTTTAAAGTGAGTTTTGCCCCACTTTACGACTTTTTTTTTTGCCACATTTTTAAAGTGAATCCCAGCAGTTGTTAAATTAGTAACACGGTTGTTTAATGAACCTGGTTTCCCCAGTGACTTTGCTTGTCAGAAATTTGCAAAAGGGGACCACGTGACTCCAGGATATTGCAACCATCATAAATGTGAGTCAGTTGTCAAGCATCCAAATGTAAATCACGTGACCATGCTGCAATGGTCGTAAGTATGAAGAATGGTTGTGTCACTTTTTTCAGTGCCCTTGTAACTTGAACAGTCACTAAATAAACTGTTGTAAGTCGAGAACTACCTGTATAACTGAAAAAATTAAAAGATTATTATGGAGAAATAGATATTGAAATTTATATATTATTATAGATTGTTCTCATCGAGGCCTATCTATACAAGTGTAAATGCAAGTATTTTGAGTAGAAAACCCATCTGAATTGAATTTGCAAGTCTCAATATCCTACTGCTCTGGCTCTACACATGTACAATTAGAAATTCTCTACCAATGTATTTTATATTTACAGGGAAGTCACACAACCATGATTCTGCCAGGTCTCTTTTCAAGTGCCCTGAACAGGAGAGTGACTTGCCACATCAGCATGGGATGAACAATAAAGAGAAAATAGGAAATGGGATGGAAGTATCACCATTATTACCAAACTTGACACAGATGCATAGAAGACAGAATGGTATGGTACAAAAAGCATTTAGACTTTTTTTTTAAAAAAAAACCTTAAGTTTTGTTTAGTTAACAAAGAAAGGAAAGAAGTTGCTAATTGTATATGCAACATCTTATTTCTTAAATGTACTATAGCAATAGCACTTAGACTTATATATACCGCTTTATAGTGCTTTACAGCCCTCTCTAAGTGGTTTACAGAATCAGCATATTGCCCCCCACCCCCAACAATCTGGATCCTCATTTTACCCAGGATGGAAGGCTGAGTCAACCTTGAGCCTGGTGGGATTCGATCTGCCAAATTGCAGGTAGCTGGCTGTCAGCAGAAGTATTTTGCAGTACTATCAAATGTAATGCTTTGTTTTCTTGATTCAATCAAAACAAATTAAACTCTTTTCCACACTAGAGGTTCATAGTTGTCGGGCTTATCTTGCATAACCATTACCACAAAAATGCATCTGTTTCCTAGGGTACAGGAGAGTGATTAGACTCATGCATTACATCACCTTGTGACTAATTCCACATAATTTGTTGAACTATTCATAATGGCCTGGCTCATGCATAATATTAAGCAATAAGTCACACTTACGGCAATTTTCCTTATATTGGTATATCAGGCATGATATTCTTCCGATTAAAATCGGAATTCCGGTTTTTTTGGGAATCCCCCCCCTTTCCCCCCACCCCTTCTTCTCCTCCTTCCCCTCCCCTCGGAGGCCCCGAGTCAGGAGTTGCTGGTGCGGCTCCACGCGGCTCCAGTCCCGCGTTGCCTCAGGAAGGGAAAGGCAAAAAGGAAGAGCCGCGGCGGCGCTTTGCAACGGCAGCAGCGGCTCCTGGTTTTGCCTTTCCCTTCCCGAGACAACACGGGACTGGAGCCGTGTGGAGCTGCGCCGGCGGTAGCAACTCCTGACAGCCCCAGCCGGATACCTGAGCGGAGCCCGGGCAGTCCGAGCGCAGGCCGCTGAGCGGCAGGAAAAGGGAGCTGGGCCAGCCACAGACCAGCCTCCGTGCAACACGCCACCGCCCGGCCCTGGCGAGGGAAAGCAGCGGGCGCTCCCTGGACGCGCGGCGGGGGGTCTCTTTTGGCCGGCCCTGATTTTTTTTTCAGAGCAGAATATCATGCCTGGTATATGCCACATATATTGGATTTCAATTCCCGTAAATTCTAGCATGACACATTGTCTATGGATTTATCTATTAATTAAAATTGTTTCCTGCCCATCTTGCCACAAGGTAAGGTGCAGGGGTGGGATTTTACCGGTTCAGCCTGGTTCTATAGAACTGGTAGTTCCGAAGAGCAGCTGACACCAAACTGATTCACTGCGATGATCTTTTGGTCATCTGTTTGGCCACCTGCCTGCCCTGGCTCTAGTGCCGCTTGTCACCTGGAGCAGGTGAATGCTTGCCAGACCCGGTAATTTGTAAGTAGTGCGCACATGTGCATTTGGCATGCACACGTGCAAAGCGAACCGGTTGTTATGCCGTTAGGTCCCACCCCTGGTAAGGTGGCTTACAACATTAAATGGATAATTAAAATTTGAACTCTAGACATCTGGAAAGCTCCAGGATGACTGGATAAAGAAGTAAAGTCACCATTGAGTTGAACTCAACCTCTAATGACTATGTAAACAGATCCACAGGAGATCAATTTTCCTTACAATAGTCTAAAAATGAATTTGCGATTTCTCTCTTCCAGGATGTTTCATCCAGTTCCCAGTGTAGCCTAGGGAAAAAATTGCTTAGTAGCCCTCTGTCTGAATAGTAACTAGATACATTCTTGCATTGCTTTGTCAAGATCAGTCACAATTGACTAGGATCTGCAACCCAAAATGCTAGAAGATTTGTAACTGTTTTAATTTTCTGAGTACAGATATTTGAAATGAAACAAATATTCCTCTCCTCTGACTCCAAAACTGCAGAAGTAGCCTCTAATGTATTTCATTTTGTTACTTTCAGATCCTCTTTTAAAGGTAGATTCAGACATGCCTTCTTTATCTCTGCCACCAACTTCCATGGACCTCCCACATTCTTTACATTCAAATTTCTCAGATTTCTCAAATGAAAAGGTAAAGAGTAGGAAAACTTGCACTATTTTAAATTATTTTCTATGGATCATTTTTATTGCATTTAGCCAAAATACTTTTGCAGTCAGTAAAGTATATTACTTAAGCATATAGATAGTAAAGCATTATATTATACCAATTTATACTAGTATACTATTATACTAATAAGATATTAATTTGAAATATACAATAAGAGTTTTAAAAACTCTATTATCAGTATTATTGGCTATATTTTTATCGGTAAAAATAATTCTGTGCATAGTTAGCAACTATCTCCTTTAAATGTTTTGTTCAAATAAGATAAATATTTCATTAGAAACGAATTGTTTGATAGGGTTATTATGCAAGAGGCAAAGTAAAGCATAACAGTTAAGATGTTGGAGTTTAAGGCAGCTGTCAAATCCTGGATCCCAGCTTTTTTCAAGAGAAGCTAAGCAACAATATAACATCCCGTCCAAAATCTTGCAGTTCAGCTAAATTATCCTTTATTTGAGGCAGTAAATCCTACAAACATCATGGATCTGAATCTGGTATTAAAATGCAATTAATAAATAATTATCAGTTTGACACTCATTAGATACACAAACTAAGCCAATTGCCCAGTCTAATGTTATGAAAAACCATCCATATATTCAGGGTTGAATATATTTATCCCATTCTAGGAAGGAACATCCAAATATGCTGTATTCTGAAGATATACAATGTGAGAGTTATGAAACAATGCATATTAGCACCTGGCAGTTAAAATAGAAAAGACTCAAGAGAGTAATAAAGGAAAAATATAAATAAAATGTATTATATTAGTTTTTAGTAACATTTCATGTCATATCTTCAAACTAATTTATACCACTAACCAAATCAAATTGAAATGTATACTTTTTGGTAGGCAATTCTAGTGGTAACCAGAATTAGGTATAGTTATTTTGGAATGAAAGCCTGTGGTGTGGCTTGAGATTGAAAGTAATCTTTCTGATGTTCACCAAAATATCAATCATATCTTTTCTCTTAAATGTATAGCTCTACAGTTCTTCCATTCCTCAGGAGGAAGTTTCTCCTAATCATGACACTGAAAGTCTTTTGTGGATGCCAAGGGAAGTGGAAATTGCCACCAGCGGCTTCAGTGAAAAAAATCGAATTAGTGAAGGCATTTTTGCTACTACTTACAGAGGTCAGAGAGATAATGCTCACTATGTTGTTAAAAAACTAAAAGAGGTACGTGCCTGTCTTCATTTATCTCATGAACAAAATTAGAAAGTCATGTGCATAGCTGGTTAACAATAGGAGGGTGTCTCTATATAGCCATATTGGATTCCTGGCACTGCCATTCCCATCCCTAGCACTGTGTTTTTGAAAGAAGACACTTGGCAGTTATCTCCACTACTTTAGAAAAGGTCTACAATAATTTCACAGGGCATCTTTTGTTTATCTGTCTTGAACCCAGACTGGCTGAATCTAGCAAGAGACAAGAAGTTCAAAAATCTGGATCCCCAGTTATTGTTAGGAGTTAAGATACATAGGCTTGGATTATTATAATGGGTTTAATGTTATTGAACCAGAATTTATGTTGATGAGAGAAAGATGTGAAAGCCTTGTCACTTTTTAGCCATCTTTTCTGCAAAGCAATATAAATTATTTATGCAAATTGAATACAATATAAATATAGATTTCAATTAACCTGTCAGTTAAATCAGTAAATCAGCCTGGTTGAAAATAGTAGAATTAAAAACACAGAAGCAAAAAAGAATTTCACTTGCAGATACAATAATATGTGATTTCATTCTAAACTGATAAATAATGTTAGCAAAATGCAACGTATGAACATGTTGGCAGAGAACACTTGGAGCTTGAACTACTGATGAAATTGGGTATTGCAGAATAAACATACAGCTTCTCCTTCTCCAAATCCGACTGTCATTTTGTTGATAGATTCAAACAAGTTAAAGAAAATGGCTAATATATACTGTATGTATAAATATGAGTAAGTATGAACTTGCTGTTCAGAAAAAAATAATAGGATTCTCTTTATTCCAGAATGAGGCACAAGTATTTTTTCGTACAGAAGTGCAAATCTGCTTTCGGTAAGTAGCTGGACAACACTTTTAGTGGGGAAAAGCAGCAGATGACAATGTTAGTTTACCTTGTGAGCCAGACTTCCTCGGTATAAAAATTTAATAAATAAATGAATACATACACACATACATTTCAAAGGTCAGTTATAAGTCTATTTCTTCAGCACCATGACAACTTTGAACAGTTGCTGAATAAATGGATGTTATGTGAGGGCTACCTGTATATGTGTGTCTTTTAGTCTGTTAATGTTTTTACATTTTATTTTTGCTATTTTGGCTTTAATAAGAAAATTGTTCTCTTTAAGAAATGTTTGAGCTCGGGTAGGCATTGTAACAATCTCATTCATTTTTTCTTTTCCTGTTAATGAAATAAACCTTTTATTTTCAAAAAGTATTACTAACTTAGGGTTTGCATTGGAGAGGCCCAGAATATGGGTGGATTGAGGGGAGGGCTTTCATTATAAACGACCTTGAAATAATGATTTTAGACACAGAGAGATAAACACATAGGCTTGTACAAACAGAAATGCCAATATTCCCTTAGTTACCAGAGTCAAACTCAACCACCAGGAATTTCTTGATTCCTAAAATTTTCTGCCTTTTCACCTGACCAAAAACTGCTAGCAATCTGTGGTTTCATCGTATCCTGAGGTCTTTAAACCTTAAATTTTCTGGTTCCTGTGACTAAGCTTGTTAAGTATTTATAGAAAACGTATATATATATCAGAAAACATATATAGAACATTTAAGGGTTAACGACCTTGAAAT